CAACTTGGTTTATCCATCCCTGATTTTCTCCCATTTCATACCTCCCCATTTCTCCTCTTAATCTTACTCTTTTCTTCCATTAAAAATACCCAAAAGAACTCCTTCATCATCCCCGTATTTTTCCAGCCATTCCCCACACAAACACCATCATTTCGTTCCCAGAAATCTGTCAAAATAATCGATTATCATTGTTAACAATCGATTATCAGTCCTCTTTTGAAACACCCGCAGGGATCAATAATCGATTATCCTTTCCAGATAATCGACTATCACTCTTCCCCCGAAATTTGCAGCCCTAAATAATCGATTATCACCATACCAATAATCGACTATCAATCCCTCCTGAAAAATCCAAGAAGCTGCACCATCTGACAATCGATTATCTAAGATAAACAATCGATTATCCTCTTATCCTGAAAACAAAAGGCTTTGTTTCTTGAGTTTGAACTTAATATCGTCAAACCCGGAGCTGAGATATAACATTTGGTATCAGAGCTTTGTGTTGAACATCCCTACGGGATCATCTTTACACGCCTCCCTCGTCTCTTTTGTTACTGTCAACCATACACTCTTCAAGCCATATATCCACCATGCCAAGCTCTTCTCAAAACATGTTTCAAGGTGAATTAGTTGCTGCCCAGGAGAAACTAAAGATGGAAGTTGAGCTTATGATGAAACAAATCAAGGAGCTCACTAATTCAGTGGAGATTCCCACGTTTGAAGGAAGAAACGACCCGGAGAAGTTCTCAAAGTGGTTAGCAAAAGTTGAAGATGTCTTTACACTCAAAGACATGCCCAAAGACAAGAAGGTCAAGCTAGTGGTGGCAAAGTTTCAAAGACATGCCTCTACTTGGTGGGCTAGCGTTGCTTCAAAACGAAAGCTCCAAGGAAAAGCGAAGGTGAGAACTTGGGAAAAGTTAAGAAAACTCTTAATTAAGAGATTTTCTTCCAAAGATCTTCTCCACCAGGTACTTGAAAATACTCTCCCTTTTCACCCAATACTCTTTCTAAAGTCGTACCACCTTCCCCACAACAAAAGCCACTACATATTACCCTCTCTCCCACAACCTTAACCTCCTCTAAATCCCGATCTTCACAGACTTCTCACGCTGCCCAAATCATTCCCGAAGCCACCACCATCTTCAACACTCAAACTCCCTCTAAAGTTCTCTCTTTACCTTACATCCATGCTATCCAAAACATCTCTCACCCAACTCCCTCACACCTACCCAAAATTCCTACTCAAACAACCTCTTTACCTTCCTTAGCCACTGCCCAAACTAAGCCAACACCCCTTACCACAACCCTGCCCCAAAATACCTCAAAACCTATTTATTTTTCATCCCTGGCCACTGTCCAAACAAGCCCCAAAACGCTCTTCATGCCCCTGCCTCCAAACTTGCCTACAATTCTCCCTCAAACGGCCGTAACCATTCCCACACCTACCCCTACACCCCCACTTGAAAAACCAACTGAAACCATCCCTTTACCCTCCCAAAACACTGTCCAAAGCACCCTCAAAACCTCTCCCATCCCCACAGTTTAGAACCATGTTAAAACCATAGGCCCTCCACCAAAAGCCATGGTCATACCCCCACCAAAAATCTGCCCATCTATTCCCAAGAATTCCCATTGCTTCCATCATATTGGTCATTATGCTATTCAATGTCCAAATAAGAATCTTAAGTCCTTGGTTGAAGAAGAAGAAAAATCAGAACCTTTGGGACTTAAGGAAGCACAAGAAGATGTGAAATCACAAGGCCAATGTAAAGATGAACTCGTGGTCATTCGTAGGCCATTGAGTAATCTGGCCCACTTTCTTACTCATTTAACTCCCCAAAAGTGTTATGAGAAGACCCAAAGTGGAGTCATGAGCCGAAATGCAGGAGCCTTGCCCCGAAGGTTATCTTCACTAAAGGTACCTCGTACCAAGTTTGTTAAATTTTTGCAGGTTCCAAGTAAGGAAGGAATACAGGAAACATTCGAGTTTTATTATAAGACTCGTGAAAGGCTTGAGAAGAGAAGTGAGTTGAAAAGTCCCACCCACTTTCAACCCGGCGACCTAGTGTGGGTCCATATTCAAAGAGAGCGTTTTTCTGAGAAACGCAAGTCAAGGCCGCAAATCCGAGATGATGGCCCATTCGAAGTGCTAGCCCGAGTCAACGACAATTCCTACATGGTCGACCTTACAAGAGGTCAAAGAGTTGCTGCCACATTCAAAAAAGGGTACCTGAATCCATATGACGGTCTTGATTATCCGTTGAGTTTGAGGGCAAACTCTTTTGAAGACCGGGAGGATGATATATCTGGGCCCAAGCCTATCATACCCTCCCCCATATCCCACACCCTCATGGAAACCAAAGGACTTAGGTTCAAACATTATGATCCATTTTAGTGAGAATTCAATGTCCTTTAGCCCGAAAGGCCAAAATAACTTTCGTTTTTGACCTAAGGGTTCCGCTGGTGAACCCCCTTTTTTCGTCCAACCCAACCCCAAACATCCAAAAGTATTTTATTTCCTTTTGATATCCAAAGTAAAGTCTCTTCTATCTATTTTAATCCCTGGTCACAATAGGAAACCAAAACAGCCCCATTCATCTTCCAACATCCACCCAACATGGTCCCTACTATGTTCCCTAGTACAACCCACTAAACAACCATAAAAGTCCAGGAGAAACATGGTACTTTCTTAACCCTTTAACCACCAAATAAATCCTCATATATGCAGACAAAGTACCACACATTATCCTTTCCCATTGTCCCCCTAGTTGGCTGAATACATCCCCCAAAATCAGCCCAAAAGAAGGCCATTCATTCCCCCTGGTTTGCTTTTCATTGGAGGCCCTACAACCACACCCATCCCTGATTTTATTCCAATAAAAGGACCTCAAAACATGGCTGATATTTCAGGGATTTGAGAGAGGAAGTTGCTAGGAAGCTTCCTCATGTTCACATTCAATGTATAGTGTGTGTTATCCCCCTTCCCCCTGCCTATATAATCAGGCCATATGGCCATTGTAAAACCAACCTTTTGAATATTGAAAAACCTTTTACTCTTTGAGTATTCATAAAATAGTGTGATGCTATTTTAGCCAAATTCCTAATTCTATATCTTAAGAGTAGTTATCTTAAGTGTGAGTTTTAGGTTCTAGATATTTGATTAAGTGTGTCATATCTTAATTAAATTCTAGATTCAAACCCCAAGTTAGGATAAGAGTGTGTAATATCTCTTAAACACCTTGAACCAAATAGGTAGGGACTAAAAGAGGGTAAAGTATGGAGGGGTAAAGAGGAGAATTAGAATGAGAAAAGAAGGTAATTAAATACCCAAAAGAACTCCTTCATCATCCCCGTATTTTTCCAGCCATTCCCCACACAAACACCATCATTTCGTTCCCAGAAATCTGTCAAAATAATCGATTATCATTGTTAACAATCCATTATCAGTCCTCTTTTGAAACACCCGCAGGGATCAATAATCGATTATCCTTTCCAGATAATCAACTATCACTCTTCCCCAGAAATCTGCAGCCCTAAATAATCGATTATCACCATACCAATAATCGACTATCAATCCCTCCTGAAAAATCCAAGAAGCTGCACCATCTGACAATCGATTATCTAAGATAGACAATCGATTATCCTCTTATCCTGAAAACAAAAGGCTTTGTTTCTTGAGTTTGAACTTAATACCGTCAAACCCGGAGCTGAGATATAACACATTTCCACCTGCCCTTGTTGTCAGTCAAGCAGCGTTAGCACGACCCGCACCAAGCCAACGCTCAACAGCTGATATACCTCGGGTCGCTACCAACGATTCTAAACTCCTTAAACAATCAACGGAATAATGGCTAAATGTTATAATCCCTTTTGGAATGAATTCATCACCACCAAGCCATACACCCTAGCCATAATATCCTTGAACCCTACCCCACCCTAGGGCCCAACCAGCCCTAACCCAAAAACCAAACACCCAAATCAGCCCAAAACCCCTTAATCTCCTCTTCCTCCCTTTTCTCCCCTTGGCCGAAATTCACAACCCCAACACACCCACCATTATTTTCTTCATTGAACTCAATCCATAAGGCCAAAAAACCCAGCCCCCACACTAAACCAATTCAACCCCCTCATTCCCTCCATTAAAGGACCAAAACTACATGCCAAAACCTCCCTTCCAACCCATGCCATATGCCCCCTCTTGTTCCCCAACTAGGCTGACCAAACACCCATTAAAATCCACGACATATTTGCCCACCACCACACCAATCAACCCCTCCTATGTTTCCCCATATACCACCTAAGAAATACTTCCAAAACAGCTTGCAAGTTCCCCTCATCTAGCCCTTCCTTTGGCCGAAATATCCCCACAAAAACCAATCAAATAAGTGGGTTTTATTCACTTATTCCTTCCTTCCACTTATGGCCAAAATTCCAGCCCTACATGTACAACCCCTACTGCATTTTCTCCCCACCAAAAGGACATCAATAAGTGGCTATTATTTTCCATTGATTTGTGTGAATAAGAGGCTTGGTAGTCTCCTTGTGTGTATGTATATATTTCGGCCATAGGCCTTGTAAAACATCATCTTGTATTTGAAATTTCCTTAGTAATACATTTGTGTGTTTGCTTTTCAAATCCCTAAATCTATATCTTAAGAGTGGGTCTCTTGAGTGTGAGTTTTAGGTTCTAGTTATTTAAATAAGTGTGCAATATCTTGTTTGAATACTAGATTCAACCCCAAGTAAGATAAGGGTGTGTAATATCCCTTAACACCACTTGGTTTATCCCCCCTTAAAGAAAACAACTAAAGAACTCCCTCCACTTCCTCCTCCATTTCGGCCTGCCCATTTCCCTTCTAAAACAGCCCCTTTTCTCTTACTCCTTAGCCAAAATTAAATCATAAACACCCTACCTCACTGCCCCCATTCGTCCCTCATTTCCTTCCCCCTTAAATGTTATACCCGAGCTCCGGGAATAAGCTTTAAGTTTGGGACAAAGCTTCTTAAACTGCAGGAGAAAGGAATAATCGATTATCAATTTATGATAATCGACTAACAAGATTCAACCCCAAGTAAGATAAGGGTGTGTAATATCCCTTAACACCACTTGGTTTATCCCCCCTTAAAGAAAACAACTAAAGAACTCCCTCCACTTCCTCCTCCATTTCGGCCAGCCCATTCCCCTTCTAAAACAGCCCCTTTTCTCTTACTCCTTAGCCAAAATCAAAGCATAAACACCCTACCTCACTGCCCCCATTCGTCCCTCATTTCCTTCCCCCTTAAATGTTATACCCGAGCTCCGGGAATAAGCTTTAAGTTTGGGACAAACCTTCTTAAACTGCAGGAGAAAGGAATAATCGATTATCAATTTATGATAATCGACTAACAAGAGGTTTAGTTTCTTGGGAAGGAATTTTGGGAGTTCAGGGAAGGTAAATAGTCGATTGTCACTTTAGCAAAAATCGATTGTGGGATTGTGTAGTTGAAGCCAAGAAGATTCAGAAGGGTGGGATAGTCGATTATCAATAGTTGATAATTGATTATTTGGGGTTTTAGATTCTGCCAAGGAAGTTCAGGGGTGTTGGATAGTCGATTATCAGTGAAGGATAATCGATTATCAAGGTTACCCGAGGTTTCAATATGGAAGGGAAATGGCTGGGCTATGTAGGGAAGTTATGGGAAGGAATGATAGGGTGTTTTCTGGGTTAAGGGAAGAAAAGAGGGGGATTTCAGAGTGAGAAATGGAGGGATATGGGGTTGAGAAAATCAGGGATAGATATTACCAAGTTGGGGTTAAGAGATATTACACACTCTTATCTTAACTTGGGGTTGAGTCTAGTATTTTAATAAGATATGACACACTTATCTAAATAAATAGAACCTAAAACTCACACTAAAGAGAACCACTCTTAAGATATAGATTTAGGAATTTAAAATAGCACATACAAACAAGTGTATTACTAAGGTGGAAATTGGGAATACAATGTGTGTTTACAATGCTCAGGGATGAGCTTATATAGGCATAGAAAAAGGAGACTACCAAGTCTCTTATTCATACAAATTAAAGGAATTAATGGCCACTTGTTGATGTTCCTTTGGTGGGGGAAAAACACAGGGGTTATTGTGCTTGTAGGGTAGGATTTTGGCCATTAATGGTAGGAGGGAATATGTGAATATAATTCACAATTGATTGGCTTTGGTGGGGCTGTTTTTTGGGCAGGAGAAAAAGGTGGGATGGTAGGTTATTTGGATGTATTTCCTGGGATGGATATGGGGTAAAAACATGGGGGGGGGGGGTTGAAGGGTGTGGGTGTGGGTCAAAGTGTCTTGGATTTTATGGTTGTTTGTTTAGCCAAGTTGAGGTGTAAGGGAGTGGTAATGGCAGGGTTATGGCATGGGGTTTTTGGTCAGGGATGAAGGAAAATAAATATAGGTTTGGGTTTATTACTTTGGATATTTTGGGGTTTGGATTGGATGAGAATGGCTGGGTTTTAAGTGGGAGTTGGGCTCAGGGAAATTATGGCTATGTGGCGGGTTTTAGGATTGATAAGTTCAGTCCAAAAGGAATCATAACACTTAGCCATTATTCCGTTAATTTGCTTAACGACTTTAGAGTCGTTGGTAGACGCCCGGGGTATATCATCCTCCCTTCTTCAAAAGAGTTTGTCCTCAAACTCAGAATTTCTTCAGGCTCAAAGTACGGGCTGATGTCCTTGATGTTGAATAGGGCCGATACTCCATAGTCTCCCGGAAGGTTGATTTTGTAGGCATTGTAATTTACCTTCTCCAATATCTCAAAGGGTCCGTCGGCTCTTGGTAACAATTTCGACTTGCGTTTTGTTGGGAAACGCTCTTTCCTAAGATGAATCCATACGAGATCTCCTGGTTGAAAGTGGGCGTCCTTCCTTCCTTTGTTGATGCGCGTGCTGATTCTCTCATTCATGGCTTCAATTCTGTCTCGAACTTTGTTGTGAAGGTCCTGAATTTCCTTCGATCTCTTGTCCGCTTCCCAACTATACTTGGTATCTCTTATGATAGGATTAAGATCTAGTGGGGTCAAGGGATTTGAACCGTAGACAATGGTGAAGGGGGATAGTCCGGTAGTCTTGTTCGGGGTTCGGTTGTAAGCGAACTCTGCGTGTGGTAGTAGCTGCTCCCATTGTTTGATATTTTTCTTTATGAGGGCTCGGAGGAGAGTTTCGAGGGTGCGGTTAGTGACCTCGGTCTGTCCATCGGTTTGGGGGTGGCTAGACGTACTAAACTTGAGTTTAGTAACCAACTTTCTCCATAGAGTCATCCAAAAATGACTAAGGAATTTGGTGTCTCTGTCCGATACCATGCTTCGAGGAACGCCATAGAGTTTGACTATCTCTCGAAAGTATATATCCGCAACTTGTGAAGCATCATAAGTGGTAACACATGGCACAAAATGGGCCATTTTTGAGAACCGGTCCACGACAACCATGATCGAATCTTTGCCCCGTTGCGTCCTCGGTAGCCCGGTGATGAAATCCAAGTTAATATCTTCCCATGGTGCACAAGGAACGGGTAGCGGCATGTGCTTTCCTTGGGGCAGTGAGTGACTCTTTGCTAGGTGGCATGTGTTGCAACGCTTGACAAAATGCTCGATGTCTCGTTCCATCTTTGGCCAAAAATAGTGTTCCCTCATCATTATGTGAGTCTTATCGACCCCATAATGACCAGCTAGGCCTCCTCCATGGATCTCGTCAATAAGGGTCTCACGAACACTACATTTAGGGATGCAAAGCTAGTTGCCATGGAAGAGATATCCGTCCTTGATGAGAAAGTCTCCATAGGGCCGAATGAGGCACTTAGAATAAGTGTCTTTGAAGTCTTCATCCTCTTTGTAAAGCTCCTGCAAAAATTCAAAGCCA